TGCTCGCACATCCCCCCGCGCGCTTTCGTGTCACTGTCTCCTTCTCCAGAGGCCTCTCAGGTGGCGTAGCACAAGAAGAGTTTAGACAGCAATCGATTTATGATTGGGATCTCTCTCTCGCACACCGCAATTCCGTGGTCTATATACCCATTTCCCCCTATCTCACTCCAGATTACACAGATCGTTTCAATGCAGTTGTGTATATACCTCTCCCCTCCGCACACACATGTACAACATCATTTGCGATTCAGACGAGCCTGTTCAGTTGTATAGATCTTGTGATTTACTGCACACACACACACACATTCAGTCAAACAAGTATACGAACAGATCCGTTTGAATGCATCACACACTCAAGCGCAGGTTGATCTGTNTGTTGAAAGCGAGTGACCGGCGGGGGGTGGGGGTGGGGAAAGAAGGTTACGGATTGATCCATGTATCCACTACCGGGTGAAGAGATTACGGTATGGCGGTCTTCTATGTTGCTGTTCCCTGGCCGTCAAGTTCCTATTGATTTCTAGTTTAGTGAACTGCTAGATTTTACTTGCTATGCTTATTGATCACCACCAGCACCAGGAACCTACTGATACACTGAACTAAACACTGAGCTGGTTTCCCCCGTTAAACGATTCAATCGTCCTGCGCTATTTCTTCCGTGGTGGTGACTGCTAGCGGCTACTGATGCTGATCGAATACGATCGGTGTTTGCATTAGTGTTGTCCTACGGCGCCGCGTACATATACTCACACCTTTTGACACAATTTGGAGGAATGCAAACTGGAGGCGACTGTCGGTTAATGCCTAATAGTAGTAAGTGCTTTGAGCTCATAGATTAACTGTTTGGTACAATCAAAACACGTCTTTGTTGAGCGTTTTTGAGATCGGACATTGGAATTCTAACTTAAAAAGGTATATGTATATCTTTCTCAATTCCGCTCAAGCCCCATTTACCCACTAGTTAATCCGATCTCTACTTTTTTGTGTTACCGCTGTGCGATGAACAGCAGACCGAGTGGACCTCATAATCACGAAGACCTGTTGTTTAATGATGGTAACCCGTAACCTAAGCCCTAGGTCTTGCATTGGCGAATCACAAGGCACAACTAGGATGGATGTGGTATTGAACCGGAAAACTGCAAAGCTGCCTACCACACAGTTTAAAATTTACTGATGATAGCTATCAGATGATGCCAGCAGTCAGTTACTCGCCAACATTATCAGCGGTTATGTGGGGATTTTTTCCCGTTTGAAGTTTTACCTTTTGAAATCTTTGTCCTGATTTATTCCATTTTCTTGTAAAATTCCATTTACGTTTGATGTCATCGCGGGCGGTGGTGGTCCATGAGTGTTACCGAATCTCCCAACTAAACGCCACCAAACGAGGTTTTCAGCACCACTCATTGAAGTGGGAATGCAGTTTACACGATGCCGCTTCCCCCTTCACTCTCTTTGTCACAGGAGTCCACGCCACGTTCGGTCAAACTGACTGATCCGCTGGATGCCCTAATGCCGAAACGTACAGTAGAGGTCGCCCGACGCTTGGGACTTCGCCCGGTGGGTTGGATTTTCACGGATCTCGTTGCAGAGGAGCAACCAAATCGGGGTGAAGTGCAGCATTTCCGAGGCACAATGGTGAGTCACTTTGCAATTGATGCCAAAATTTCTTATCACACTTAAGTATGGGTAATATCCGACGCGTTGCTGCTCCCTTGGTTTGAAACTGGATCTAACCATCACGAAGAGGTTCATGTTTCCCGGTGTGATTTTAACAGATTTTCGCTTCAGCTTTGTCTCCTCTCATAGCTGGTGGTGTGATGGTTTGGTGAAATCATGGAATGCTGCCCTACCCTTGCGCGTGCGCGCGTAATCCATGACAGATGTAACTTCCGAAACCCCAGTTTGTTGAATAGTTTATTTCATGAACCCATTTTCTTGAAAGTTTGACTTCTGATTCTCTTGTCTTTTTTTGAGGGGGTGGGGACACAGCTTTGATCGACCAGGTTAGTGGCACTCATTGTTTATCCAACACACCGAACTGTGATTTTTTCATTACTCATCTAACTGTGATGAACAGCAGACGGAGTGAACCCCATAGTCACAAGGACCTACTGTTCTTAGTGGTGGAAACCGGCAACCTAAGGCCCGGGACTTGTAGTGGCGAACCACATAAGGCTCCTATAGTTTATGTTTGGTATCGTACGGGACGACATCAGAGCTACGTACCACCAGTGGGGTGGCGGTGACGGGACTCGAACGTCGGACCATAGGGTCCAAAGCACACCAGTAACAGCGACTAAATCACTGCGCCACCCATCAATACCAATAAATGTTTCTTCATTCCTCCCGATTTGAAAATAATTTCACGGAGACCCTTTTACGTGCCACGCTATCGTTTGTAGACTATCACAGTCTGTGACATTCTGACAATCGTATTATCCTCATTTGTCGGCGTTTGTCGGTTGTGTTCACTCGTTTATTGCGATTGGTTATTTATTTTTGTTTTAATATGCTTTGGTAAGTGCTATAAGAAAAGATCCGAATTTTCAGGTTGGGGAGCATTAGAGCTACCTTCTTCCTAATCCGCGGTGGTGTTGGGGTTTGTGCCTACCCATTGATGCTGGAAACAATGTGAACCCTCTGGTTGTTTATTTTTCTCGAGGGAATTGATGAATTAAGTTCACAGTTTTGGTGTATCTTCGATCGACCTACGGATGAAATTTTCTGACCAAAGTTGAAAACTCGTTTGGAGGTTAAGTGTTCCAATTTTTTGCTTACCCACCAAGTGCAGTGACGGCAGTTATGTTTTATACTTCCTTTTTTGAATATTGTGTATTCAAATGTATAGTCGGTTTTCAGGAAAGGGGAGCTGTGATGGATTAAAGACTGCCTATGGACGAACAGAATTATTACGTTATCTCATGTTCCTGCTTTATACTGATCAGTACCCCTTACCTGAAAGTGGATTGCACATTTGCTGAGTAGAGCGCAATATTGATTTTGATCGGTTAATGACAAATCTTGAGCCTTTCACGTCCAAAAGCCCCGGCAAGAACCGAATACTTTAGTTCTAAGAACTACATCACAACGAGAGCGAATCGGGTGTGTTCGCGTACGTCTATTGTGTTCGTTGGACTTGGCGATGTGCATGTGAGGTCCAAGCGGTCTGGGATTCCGGAGCATGTGGTTTGAATCGATTTGTCAGTGCAGTCGGACAAAAGCTAGTTTTTGATCGAACATTCAAGGATAATTCCAGGTGTGATTGACATGGAACTGTATTGACCGTAATGGGAAAACTTCCTGTTTCTGAAACTTAATAATCAGGTGATTTGCTTATAAACGTGTAAGCAGTGAGAGGGAAATTCACTTCAGAATCGGTCTGTCAGTTGGGTATTAAAATAGCGCACTTTTGTTAGCGGAATGAGAGACAGTGATAGAATCTCCTCTATGGTTTCAAAAAAAACATTCAAAAAGTGTACGGTGAAACACCCAAAAAATTCTTATTCCTTTTATTTGTAATCTCCTATTCTGACAGCTACATTTTTTCCCTATACTCTGTACCCTAACCCCCCGCTCGTTATTGTTATTGTTAATACTGTTATGGCGTTGGCACCAAGCTTAATTTCAAGCCAGTGTTAAATATATATTAAATATATGGTTTCATCGTTCATAAGAAAAATAATATGACGCAAGAACGCAGAAGTACGAAATCTCCTCGTGCACGTACATGAAACCGGAGGGATCTATCTAATCCCATTGACTCTGGTGGAAAGGAGACGGCGCTTGTGAAATCTTGAAATCCAAGACACGAGCTCAGGGGAGACTACACAACGTCGTGCTCACTATATCTGTATGCGAACTCGGTTAAAAGCTCTGGTTTTGTCCATTGATACACACGGGTTTCCCCTTGGTTGTCATGGCCTACTGCCACCAAGTAAACCAAGCCAACGCCCGAAGATGGGCTTTCCGAAATCCTCACTGTAAGGTACTAATCTACTTTAGTCTTCATATCCTGATGATGGATTTGATGCACAAAAACTGATTCCGTTCTTTTTCACATAAGGTATATCGAGCGGTAGTTAATATGCTTTGTGCAGTTTCCACCTTTGGAAGTTATCAACAGTGCGTTAGTTTTCTGGAGTGTTGGTGATCCCCCAGGACGAGAAGATCAGTAGAGGATCATTTGTGGGGGTGGCTGATAAGTTTCATTTAAAACTACTGCGAATCCCGTATTTTTCCGGCGAGAATGAGTTGGATGAAGTAGAGGTTTTTTCCGAGTGTCTGGTCGGTTGAATGAGAAAGGTGAACAACAACGGAGGGTGTTTTAAACTAACGGAACAAGTATGGATTCTTTTTAGTTTTTCGCCCAAATGGTCACTGAACGTTTTCAAACTGAAACGACATCGTATGGCAAGTTCGTGATAAACATCTGCATTTTCCGGATTCTGGAACAGGTAGTTATGTTTTAGTTGCCTGTACTGTGTCTCTACGGGGCCCATGAGATTGCAGAAAGTAGAGCGAGTGGATGGTGTTGTGCCGAGCCAATAGTGGAATTCTGTTTTCTCCTTTCCGACCGCAGTACCAGAGCAAAGCAAAACAGGCTGTCTATCTTAAGGGAATGGGCTGTGAGAAGCTGCATACCTCTTCGGCGTTTCTGTGAATTTACGGGCCATGATTCTTGATTCCGAATGCAGGACAGTTACTTCAGTTAGAAAGGTCGTATTTCGGGAACGTTTTTTTAACTTTAGGTGTGAATTGGAACGGGTTAACTATTGAGAAAATAAATTGTCTCTTTTGTGCTTATCCAACGTAGTAGTATGTGGTCGTCGTGTTGCTCTGTGGTTCAAAGACTTGGCCATCACGGGAACAGAATAAAAATGGGTTGCTGGTGTTCGAACACCACCGCTGTCTACGTCGCACTGCACGATTCTGTTGGGGTAGCCGGACGAGCAATGCTCAGGTTAGGCGGAGAGATGCAGGCAGTCGCGGTCGTCCACGGGAGCAAGCGGTCGACCTCCATGGAATACGCATTTCACCACGAAAAGCGATGTTTGCCGAGGCAGGTAACAATGGGAAAAAGATCAAGGGTGGTCAAACGAGGAGCTGGTTTGTGGGTATGAAAACCTTAACCAGGAGACTGCGTCATGTAGGTCCCGTTAGGCTCTCTGTATGGGGACCTCGGGATGATCGTACCCGACGGTTAGAGACATTGAGTTATATGGCTGGATGTCGCAAACAATGGCGCTCATGCAGGAAAGTACATGGTTAAAGGTTGTAAGAACCGAACTAAACTAAACGGAACGGAACTGGTCGTCGTAGAAGATAAACAAATATCCGATGTGAGAATGGTGCCTCATAAATGGACATCGATGTCCAGACGATCAAGAACACGCGTGTGATGGTCAACTGGTTGAAGCGGCTGAAAGCTCGTTTCCCCACGCCACGGTGGCTGTATGATGTTACATCTGCACCATGATAATAATAAGACATAAGAAACGTGAGAGTGAACATTGTGTGAGAAACATACACAGCGCTAAATTGGTAATTAACTGAAGAGACTGAATTTTCAAGCACATATTACAGAGCTAGCAGTCAGTGATATTTATATGGACGACAGACGGTTCTTGTTTAA